ATATTGTTTATGAGATAAAATTCCAAGGTTCGTTCATGTTTACCAAGTCATAATCCCTTTGCCAAAATCATAGTGTCACAGACGTTGGAGAATGCCTAATTTTTAAGAATTTTAAAAATAGAACATATCAAGAATGCTATACCATATATTATCCAAAACTCCTAGTGAAGTCGGGATGAGCGCCCTGCAATCGACACACATCAACACTTCTGCAGCAAATTGAGGAAATATTGACATGAAAATGAGAAAAAGACTATAAATAGAAACATACCTGTTCAGATCTGATTATACCACCAAATTTGTTTCAAAAAACCTTTACCTGAAATTTAAAAAAAAAAACCCTTTCCCTTCTCAGAGTTCTTAGGATTTCTGAATTGCAGGTGAGGGACCGTGGGTGTGCGCACACCAGAGACAGGCCCGCTGGAAGCAGTTCTGCAGAGAGGAGCTTATCAGCCCCTCACCATTTGGGAGCAAGGCTCCTGCTCTAAGCCTTGACATTTAAATATGGGCATGTGGACAGAGTGGATGGTTAGAAATTCTAAAGTGTCTTTCTAAAGGGACCAGAAAAAGACCCATCACACTGAGCAAGTGGAAGGGTCTGTCTGGATACTAAGGCAATATTTGGCAGAATTAAACAAAGCATGTGAATAAGCAGAAACGTCATTTAATTTCATGCATTTAGTTTTATTTTTCTCATTAGTTTTATTCCTAGTTTTAAAAGAAAATTTACCCATGGTTTACATGTGAATTTGATTGGACACATGTTCTCAGGAAGCAAGCTGCTTGTCAGGAGAACCATGTTCATTATCACACATGAAATGAAACAAGGGGATCAAAACTAGCTAAAGATTTGATGATATCGTATACTACTATTCTTTCTTTTAGCATGTTTTGAACATATGGACATACTTAAAGTTTTCCTTTATGTTGCATAATATCAAAGACAGATCCAATTGATTTTATATAATAGGCTATTTTAAAGTAACAAATAAGCTGAACGAATGCTTTCTTGCAAAATAAGTAATTCTGAAAGAAAATAGATTTTTATTCTTAAATCCTTCTCTCTTCTCAATTAATTAGATTTTGTTGGTGAAAGGAAGTTAAGAAATTTAGTGTAAGTCTGATTATATCATGAATGTAAAATGAGCAGGGCAAATAATGGGTGCTATACTCTTTTAAACAAGTTAAATAAGTCCATAATAGCCCACCAGTTGTGTAAACACTATTTCACTATACTTGTAAAAGAAATATTGACTTACCTGTTAACTAAAATTATCCTGGCATGCTTCAACTAAGCTTATTAGTAATTCTTGTGGTGTACATGAATGTTTTGGGATTTGGACTTTTATCAAAGATTAGAGAATTAGGAAATCATCCATTTAGCAAGCCCAGAAAATAGACACGTACCAGACTGCTCTTTACCAGAAGGGATTTTAGAAACTTGCAAACTAAGAGTCTAAGAAGTAGAAAGTGATTTAAATCTTGGCATGAGATAGTCCATTACACAACAGCTCATTAACACTGAGATACCATCCAAAATCATAAGTATGAATATCTCAACCAGACAAAATAGTAAATGAACCTACTTTAGCCTATTAACCTACTATCACCTGTAAAGGGTTTGTTTTCCTCTGATGTCTCAGTACATATTCTTTACAAAGAAATATGTGATGTTCTCAATAAAGTGATAGTAAACCCAAGATCCTATTCAGTCTATATGCAGCTACAATCCCAAGAGATTTGGAAAAGGGTACAGAACTTAAAGTCAGAAGACTCATGTTAGAATGTTGGTTCCATCACTGACTTGTGAGTCACAGTTAGGAAAACCACGTGCATTTTTGTCCTTCAACTTAGGAAAAAGAGTAATACCGCCTTTTAATATTGTTATGAGGATGCAGTAAGAGCATGCGAATGTGTGAAAGGCTGAATCAAGGCTGACGGTCATTATTATGCAATTTGAGAAGCTGATCTTTTTTCAATTAAACGGCATCTGCCACAAAACAAAGAGATCACTACTCGATAGCCTTACTAGAACTTTTTTCTTTTTTTGGTGTGCAAGGAATCAGGTTGCTGTGTTTTCATCTCTATCAGCTAAGATAAAGTGATTAATATCATGCATTCAACCAATAAAATCACCACTAGCTGAAACATTCTTATTTTCAACTCATGATTTTCTATGTTTTAAAGTCTACAAGACCTTGAGTGTTCATCAGGTCACTCTTAACATTCACGCTTCCTGGGCTTTCAGGTTTTTACTGAGCATTCTTGACTACAAGCGATCACAGCTAAATTCTCAGTCACCACCTCAAGCAATAAAACAAAACAAATTGGTTCATCCAAGTAAGAGGTAACAAAGAAGAAATGGCTTTAGCTCCAGGTGTTTAAAAGATGGCCTCAGGATTTTGTTTCACTCATTCTAATGTTCATTATCTGGTGAACTTCCTCCACGAAGAAGAATGGCAAGCCATCTGAGCCCCAGATTTCCTTGTCCTTAGAGCTCATGAAGCCGGAGGAGAAGGCCCTCTCATCCCAGGGTGCATGACAACCCCCCAAACAGATGCAGATTGCTCTATCTAGATCATGTAGGTACCTACGCAGGGGTAGGGAGGCGGGGCCATGGGAGTGTTAGAGCCCTACCAGAATCACCTAAAGTTTGGGAGGTAGTTTCCCCAAGGAAAAGTGTAGAGTGCTTTTACCAAAGAGAAAGAGGAGAAATGCTGGGCATGAAAAAAAAGTGACAGATGTTCATTTTACCTGGCTTCCCTTGTTTAAGTGAACTAGAAATCACTCTGCTCTATGTCAATTTATTAACAAGCTTCAATTCCTGAAAAGAAAGACACCACCATAGTTTGAAGATCTACTCTGCTACAGTCCAATTTCCAGACATTTTAAAATTTAGAACGATGTCAGTGACTAATATCCCCCTTTTACAAGGAAGGTAACTGAAACTTAGACTCATTCTGTGCCTCTGATCCAACAGCCCGAAACTGGCAGAAGGTGGATTCAAGGCTAGTTCTGCCTGATTTATTCCCCAACCAAAGTGCTACACCCTTCTTAGCAACCTGAACTCAAAGAAAGGGTTGTTGAATGTCCTTAGATGGTAGACACAATCATATTTGGATGCCTGGATTGACCAATCAGTCAATGAATATTTGTTAACTTCCCACTATCGTGAGCTCATAGTATGAGTCCTACTGGTAAAGACATCTAACTGGCCTAGTCCCTGCCACCAAAACTGTCAATAAAGTTGGAAAAAGGAAACAAACATGCAATCAAGAAAACTCTAGAGCTAGACTGTGGTGTTTATAACGTAACCTTCAGTGAGATTCATTCTATGAGCGGGGACGGAATGGCTGGGAGAAGAGAGAATAACGTGAGGATAAGCAATAGAGTGACAGTGGATGTGGTGTGCCTGGGGACAAGCGAAGGGACAGGCTAGCACTGGGCACTGCGGTGACATCCAGAAACCAGGGTTAACTCACAGTTTTCAGCAACTATTGTCAATTTTCCAAAAATCTCTGGGCCAGAGGTTTTCTTTCTTTGCAAAATAAAGAGTCTGGAGTTTATAAATCTTTGCGACTGACTCTCTCCCTCCATCTAATCCAGAGAATCACAAACTTGCCTACTAATTATGGGATTTACCCAAGAAAAGATCCTGTTAAGAATGCTCATTTAGGTCCAGGAACCTACACATTTTTAATAAGTTCCACACCTGATCGGCCAGGGTTGAGGATCACTTCTTAAACGACAGAGGGTAAATGCACCTCACACAGAAGGGAGAAAAAACCCTCCCAACTATAAAATCCAGAAGTTCATATGGGAAAGTCATCAGAACAGGCTAATTGGAAGAAGATTAACAGAGACCTTGAAAGCCAAAAGGATTCTCTGCTTTCACGAAGCAAGAAGGCATCGTGCCCCGGAGTGAAAATTGGGCATTTTTGTGAGCTAATGCGACAGGCTTGGCACGTCACCTCTTTGAGCCTATCACTCGGGTCCGAAGACAAGGACTTGCCCCTCACTGAGGCCTTCTCTCCAAGGAAGCCCTGAGTCCCTTGCCTCCTTTCTCCTGCAGAGCCGATGCAGGACGCGGAAGGGTGTAAGATCATGCACCTAAGAATCATTTGCCGCGGCCCTGCGCAATGATTCCTAAAGCCCCGCGCCTCTCCCGTGGGTGGGACTGCACTTACTTGGAGAACCCAGCTTGAGATGCAGAACGAACGAGCCGCACACAAAAAAGCAAACAGCCGTTTATCTTTCCCGCATCATTTAACTAGAGGTGATTTCCAAACGACCCTAAAACGCAGGAAACACAATCACTTCTACTTCTCACCGACCCCTCACCGATGAGTGAGGAAGGCAACATTGATTGGAGCGCTTGCTGCTCGCGAGCTGCGTGTGTGCAGCCGTTAACCCAGCACTTTGATTTTAGGGCAAAAGTGACCCAGAGAGTAAGACGTGAAGTGAGGATGAAAACGAACACCCATCGTCCGCCTGGGGCGCCTTCCTACTTCTAAAGTGGATTTTATACTTTTTTTTTTTCTTTAAAGCACTTCATGTATTTCATCCATTATTTCAAGCAGGCTTGGAGGAAACGCGCCACATCCTCCAGTCCCCGCGCGTCCGTCTGTGCCGCCTCAAACAGGTCTCTTTCAGCTCCCGGACCTGGGCAGCCGGGACGCGGGAAGGACTGAGGGTGGGGGTCCCCTGCGGCTCGCGCTGCGCTGCGCGCGGGGAATGCGCCCCCGGGAGGCAACCCGAGGGCTGAGAGCTCGCCTGCTGCTCGCGCCGCCAGCAGCCTCCCAGCCCGGGACTCTGCAAAGGAGGGAGGGGGCTGGAGGAGGGAAAGTGGGGCCGGGCCGAGGGTGCCTGGGAATCGGGGCTGTGCTGACGTCACTGGGCGCGCAATTCGGGCTGGAGCGCTTTAAAAAACCAGCGTGCGAGCGGAGATGCTGCTCCACACCGAGCAGGCCGCCTGCAGCAGCAACGCTCCCCGCCCCTGCAGCGGCTGCAGCCCGGGGCGCTCCGGAGGTCCGTGTGGCAGCGGCGGGCAGGCAGCGCTTTTCCTCGCCGCCCCGCGGGGAAGAGGAACGCGGTGCCCCGCGCCGCAGAGGCCCGCTGAGCGGCGGAAGCCCGCTGAGTCGCGTCTGGTGAGGCACAGTCCGCGGCAACCCGCACTCCGCCCTACAATCACGTCCTCCTCGCCACCCCGTGCTCGGGCACCATGGACACCTCCTCGGTCCACGCGCTCCTGTCCTTGCCTGTCCTGCTGCAGCTGGTGGCAGCGGGCGGCTCCCCGAGACCCGGCGCGTTGCTGCGGGGCTGCCCCCCGCGCTGTCAGTGCGAGCCCGACGGCAGGATGCTACTCAGGGTGGATTGCTCCGACCTGGGGCTCTCGGAACTGCCCTCCAACCTCAGCGTCTTCACATCCTACCTGTGAGTGAGCCCCCTCTCTACTCCGAAATGGGGACAAGGCGGGAAGGGACGCTAGTACAAGACCAGGCTGGGGGTTCCGCGGGTCCCGCCTGCTCCGAAAAGGGCAGGCGAGTTTGCGAAGGTCGTCTTGGTGGGCTGTGTTCGGGCCCCAGGGAAATGCACGTGTGTCAGCTGGTAGCACAACCACATATTCTGGGCCCTCAGGGAGAAGGTTTCAAGTGCAACCCCGGGAAAGCGCTGGTGCGCCGCAGCTCATGGTCAGGTTCTAGGCAGATCGCAGAGCGAATTCCTCCGGGTGTAGGCATTTGCCTGCAGCGTGGGCATTTGTGCCCCTGAGCCTGAAACGCACCGTCCGGCTGCCTGCTCCCCGCCCCAGTCTCCCCTCCCCTCGTGTCCGGCGTCCCCTTCATGCTATGCACCACGAGATGGGCTGGGAAAAGTTTTCCCAAAGGAGAACTCCAACTTGCCCAGCTCCAAAGGAACTTACTCTGCATCCCTTGCAGCGTCGCGTAATGTAACATTTTCTTCTTCCTTTCATTCTTTCTTTTAATGAAGTGATTAGAATGTGGCAACCACAAACCCCGATTAGAGCTGCCAGAATGTTATCTTTACCTTTGGCTGCCCCAGCCGCACTTTGAAGTGCCGCCCGCCACGGTGTAATCTTTAACCATCTCCTCCTCCCGGGAGGAAAAGGGAAGTGGGCTGAAGGCAGCGGGCCGGTAAACAGTGGCGCCGAAACCCAAGAGGGGACCTGAAGCTTTCTGTCATCCCCCGGAGAGCCCACACCCTTTCTTCCCCCCCAACACAAGCTCTAAAGAAAGCCCCAGCCCGTGGAGACGAGGCAGCGGCCCGTTTCATAATTTTGTCTCCGGAAAACCCAGACCCGGAGGGTAACAGGTGGTTGGGTGGATAAGGTGACTCAGGAGGGACCAAGGCAACTACTCCCCCCACCCCCCCGAGGGGAACCCGGGTTCCTTCCGGCAGACAGACCAGGGTCGAGGCCACTCGGGACAAGGGGCACCGGCGACTTCAAGGTGACATGTTTAGGTTTTAGTGTGAGCCCACCCCAAGCCCACGCGATCTTAGTGTCGGCTTCTCTAATGTTACCTTGGCAGGCGGAGCTGGTTGGGATGTTTGTGAACTCATTCTTTTCTCTGTTTAGTTTTTTCCGGAGGGAAGAAACATGAAAGGGCTTGCACAACGCCTTCTGCTAAATAGTGATTCTTTTTCTGGAGACAGAGGAAGAAAAAAAATTTTTTTACGTGTTTAATATGCATTCAAAAAATGGACCATCCTGCTAGAATTTTGGTATTAGCGGTTGGCAGTCCCCTCTTCATCTACCATAACATTATTTTACCTGCTTCTCTTTACCTGAAAGCACTATAAAATCATCTCCTTCCCTACCAGGTTTCCCTTCAATCACACTCATTGATGTGGTGGCAGTGGGTTTGTTTTTACAATGATGGAAATCTATTCTCCTAAGTGATTAATCTCTAAGAATTCACATTTTCTCCTCCTGAACAGCTGTGCTGCGGAGAGTAATGCTCATCCCCAAATCTCTCCGCTTTAACTGCTAAGCTCAGTGTTTCAAGAATCATGTGTTCTCCTGTACAGTGAGTTTCTGAGAGCAGTGCAGCAATTTCCCTTAAGAACCTAGGACTGTTCTTCGCAATCCCCCTAAAGAAATTAACTCTGTACAAGTGTGCAGTGCTCCCCAACCACCTATTAGAACCAAACAGTCCGTTGAAAACATGTTTAAGATACAGAAGATAAATTTATGAACAGCGTCAGGATGCTCTCTCTCCCACACGAAAGGACAAACATTTGTTAGGCTTCTGTTACCAAAATTTGGCATGAAATGCTGCTTCAGATGATTTTCCACACACCACAAATGCATTTAACTGCATCCTCCATGTGTGCGGGAAATCTTCCTGCCACTGTTCACGCTCTGTCGTTATAGATAACTTCTTGGAGTTAAGATAACATTCGGAAATTGTCATCTCATACTATGTGTTGACAGTCTGCACACTGGCCCAAGGGGATGTTTTCTCAGTTCCCTACACAATATTAAACTCCGGGTGTCTGGAAACATGTCACAGTGAATGTTAAATGCTTGCTTCTAGTGGTTAACACTTTGGGAAGCATAAGTGCAACATGTAGAAGCCAGTCCTGAAGTAAATAACTAAGCTGATGTTCTTCCTTATAATAAGTGACTCCACAATTTAGTCTCCTTATCGAGTACTAAATGCCAGGGTCCATGGAGTGCCCTTCTTTCATGGGCTGAGGGGTTTGGGGTTGGGGGGGTTTGTTTGTTTGTTTGTTTGTTTTTACAACCATGGGAAATCTGTGCAGACATTAAGGGTAGATGGTGCCCTCTTTTGGTTACACCTAGAATTATCTAACCATTTCTGCCTTCACTTGTATACTCATAATCTAAAAGAAGAATTTTTATTTACTCATATTCAAATAAAGAAGCATGTATCTTACTGATTCTCTTATCTTAAGATATAACTTCCCTTTGTTCTTGAAAGGGAACAGTGAATTACAGCCCCATTGCCACTGGGGCCCAGTCGTGATTAGGCTTTGATGAGAAAGAGGCTGCCTGTGAGGACTTGTGGGTGAAAGGCCAGACTACTGTCTTTTTTTGTTTGTAGAAGGTTATCAACATTTATTTGAGTCAAAATGTTATCTCCTAATCTTCCTTCCTTCCCCACAAAAGAACAAGTATTTCATTTTCTTCAGACAGATTGATGATGGCAAGTTCCAGCTGTATGCATTTGGCAAATAGATTTTACCACAATCTGAGAGCTGGCTACTCAGACTCCTAGGTAAAGAAAGTTTCCTAACTCTCTTCATAGAAGGCTAGAGCTATTTATGTGCAGTTTTATAGTCTTTCTTCCCCAGAAAAGCTCAGTCTTAAGCCAACATTAATATTAACTCTTTTTTCTTTCTGAACTGCATTGCCCAGCTGATCTGTAATTGGGCCACAGAACATGGTGGAAACACTGGAAAAATCTCGATCTTACTATTCCCTCTCTCTCTCTCTCTCTCTCTCTCTCTCCCCCTGTGGTTATAGGCTCTGACTTTACAAAAGGTTCTAATAAAGCTTACTCAGCAGAAAATAAGGAAAACACCAAGGTCGAGACATAAAAGCAAACAATAATTGTTGACAATGTTTAATATATCTCAATTTACCAGTAATGATTTATCAGAAATAAAGTAGCTCTAGCTTCTAATCTTATTATAAGTGAGTTATTTTAAGGTACCAAGTATGAACATTTTGAAAATACGTTCAAATAAGCTCTTAAAATAAGCTCCCCTCTGCTGCTTTGATATATTTCATCCAGTTAGTCTGGCATCCAAACAGAAAACTAAACTCTCATGAACTCCTGATATAAGAAATACACTTTTCTTTATTGATCTAGAACAGCCATTTTACTTTTAAATGAAAGCAGTTTTTTCTTGCTGTTGCAAGAAATGACATGTATATTTCATCCACAAGCAAATTTATGTCACATGAAGCAAAGGAACCAAAGGAAGATTTGTTTTTTAATTTAATGTATGTAGTTTGGGTACTTTTCCATGTGTAACTTTGGAACAAAATTGAATTTTACACGTAGTTAGTAAAACTGGTATAAATAAAAACCTATCAAAAACTACACTTAGTTAAATTAAGTACAGCCCTGGTGTCATGCGTGTGTTTTAAGCATTTAAAATGCAGTTCCAATATTTTAAAACATTTTTTACATCATTGAAAATGGTTTCATATAATTCTGCTTCCCCTCAAGCAAAGAAAAGCATTTTAAATAAAGGAAAATGTTTGTACTTTAGCAATAGTTACAAAAGTCTTAGCTGTTACAATAGTCTTAAAATTTTTAGCAATTCCAAAATTATAGTTTGCTCTACAACCTACTTTTAAAATTTATTTTGAATATAATGGTGCCCATAACTTTTCTGCATTTTAATCAAGTTCTTTCTTTTTCTCCAGGATTCCCAGGATTTTTTTTTTTTTTTACTAGTGTTTTTGTTAAGGGGCAATTATTGAAACTGTTGACTAAAGTAGTCTGAGTGACTTTTTTTAAGTAGTGGCTCTGATTCAAACAATTCTTAGCATAGGTTTAAAATAAGTATTGTACTCAATATGCTCAACATACAAATGGCAGAGTTCATGTGATAAGAATGAATTTTTACATACAATTAAATATGACCTTCAATCAGATCTTCAATCTTTTACCTTCTTACTCATTTTCTTCAAAGTAAAGGACTTCTGATAAGCAACAAAATGTAACAATCACAAATGAGTTAGAAGATTGGAATCAAAAATAAACTTTGTAGTGAAATAAATCTATTTTTAGATAATGGAACCATTCACATTTGGATATATTTAAAGAAGTTTAGAAACACAGAACTGGTCTATAATTTGTCATAAATGTTATTAATCTGCACTATTTGATTGTTTTTCATTTCTAAAACATATAACTAACTGTTGAAAGCATAGGAATGATAACCATGTAATTAACCCAATAAAGCTATCCTTTCAAGTTAAAGACATGCAGAATATGTATGCTTTTATAACTGATACTTAAGATCTACCTACCATGGTAAAGCACTTTTATATTTCTTCTATTAATTTCATACATTTAAGTCATTTTAGCTCTAAGTTTAATTATGTTTCAAATTAATCCAAGTCACATGCCAGAAGATAGAAATGAAAAACAGCAGTGAGCTCTCTATGAGCAATCTTGTAATTTTTTGGTGTTGTTTGGTTATTTATATAAATTTAGAACAATGCTAAATGGTACTTTTACTTGCAAACACCACACAAGCAGATATTTCTGGTAAACTGGATGCTTTGTGAGAATGCAAACTTCTTTCTTTGAGATCCAGCCACCTCATCCTGTGGTAGTGTTTTTCTTCATAGAATCTCACAGTAGAGAGATGCACCAGACTGGCATTGGAGCCACAGCTAATATTCTGCACACCAAAGAAAACAAGCTGAT